AATAATGGAATGCTAAAATTTTGAGACTAAAACTGTTTCCTTGAAGAAAAAAGAAACTGCATCCGCCGGTATAAGTTGCAGTCAATAGCTATTGAGATAAGTTTGTGACAGTGTTTACTTGTGAATACCGTAGCCCTTTCTGCATAATTCAGAGTGAGTCAAATTTGTATTCAGAGTTAAATTAAGTGATATCACTTTTCATTTACTTTGTATTTCATAGAAACTTATTTTTACATTTCTGTTTTTGTTGCTCAACGTTGTGCTAAATACAATCTTCAAGACTGAAGCAATTCAGGCGACGAATGAACTACTGCATAGAGCTAAAAAGAGTGGCACTTACTTCACTCGAGACCAGAATCGTCTTCGCGTACCAAGGTATGAGTCAAGATATATGAAAGACTCTCTCTCATATAGAGGAGCTTCGTTATGGAACTTTGTTAACTACAATAATAAGGAAGCATCGGTGACCCTCAATTTCAATCAGCTCAGGAAGCGATTCAGTTCTGAAGATTATTTTAAAAACTTTAAGTTCAAATGTAAATCTGCATCTGCTATAAGATGCAGACAACATAATTTTATATATTATTGATCATTGTGTCCATGCAACGTTTAAAAATTATATATATGTTAGCTTAATTCTTAAACACACGACCCCACAAGCTTTATAGCTTTAAAAATCATCAAGTTTAAATAAAGATTGTGTATATGTGTGTACTGTTAGATGAAGTATTTTCCCTTCCAGTTTCAACAGGTACACTGAATGTACAGTGTAGCAGTATCTATTTTCTAATTTGGGAAAAGGTAAAAATTTGAATTATATTTCGTTTGAACTCTTTCCCTTAGGGCAATTCCCTTTTTTTTAACATAAATCTGATAAAGATGAATTAACCACTGTAGCTGTGACATAAAATGATACCTAATGTTTCGAGCGTTTGTTTTTCGTTAGAGTAAAGTGGTTACCTTGGTGACACTAATAGGCTCAAATGTCACATGTTTCGGTCGGTTTCTACGAAAATGTTTTCAGGCAAAGAATACATGCCCTGCATGTAATCCTGAATTTTCCCTAGCGAATAGACAACAACAACATATAACAAAATAAAATTAAATTCTTGACATTCATAATCAAGACTACATTGAAAAACTAGAAATGTAAAGCTTGATTGTCAGTAGGCTTCTCAAAAGGTTATCAACTACTTGCTTGGTGTAAACAGTAAAATTTCCTTCTGAATATTTCCCATAGAGCTGTTAGGTTTAGAGGATATATATAAAGGTAGATCTACTCGTCCAGGCGTTTCATCACTGTCTAAAGAGAAAGGTGCCATTGTTGGAGGACGATCCGACATTCCATGCCAATATTCGTTGTTTGTATGCATGTCATTCTTTCTGGGTGACTTGTCCAGATATGATCCAGACACGTTCTAGAAACCGGCCTTGTAACTCCTTTGACAAGATGGGCTAGATGTAAATTCTTCAGCGTTTTAATGAGCTTGTGTTTGTTTGACTGATTTGAATTTAGGAGGTTAACATTAAAATCTCCCAAAAGAACCATTTCTTTGTTCAACAAGTTGGCTTTTTCGATTTTTTTTTTGCGTTAATTGTGTCATCTTGACATGTCGAAGACGGAGGTCTGTAGACATCAGCAATAAACAATGAGCGCTTGGATTTGAAAGGACATACTTCAATCCAGAGTACTTTGATTTCAGTTGTCATCACATCATGGCGGGTTTTAGCATGCAGATTATCGTTCACATAAATTATAATTCCTCCCCCTCGCTTTCCAACTCTGTCTTTCCGGAATAAGTCATCTCCAGGTATCTGGTAAAAGGAGTCTGGTCTTTCACTGTTGCAAAAAGTATCCGTTAAGATGAGTACATCCACTCTAACATTTGACTCTGGTCATGTTAGCATCACTCTGACCTCTTCTAGCTCGCTATCTTTCAAGTGTTGCACATTCTATTAACAGATTCGCAGACCATTTGGGCTCTGAGCTTGACTGGGACCAGGCTGAACCTCTACATCATTTGCCAGTTGAATGAATAGTAGTTAAATAGAGGCGTTCAAGCATTAACCGACATCCGAGGAGAACTCGCGTTGAGTTTGACACAGACCATTTGAAGAAGACCCTTTGAAGAAGAATTTGAATTGAAATAAAATAAATTGAGAAGAAAGGGTAAGAAGAAGAGAAAAAAAAAAAAAAAGGTTGGCACGGGTAGGGTTCGCACCAGATGCCTTTGGAATTGAAAGGGTACATGATCCAAGATGCCAGGTACACACAGCGTGCGAAGTGGCGAAGGTTTGTATTGACATACATTTGATGGACATCCAATAAATGTAGGTATTCTATTTTAAATTTCCTCTCCTGTTCCAGGCCGGTCAATTGACCAGTGTACAGACTCTGCTCTAAGGGAGTCCTCCTTTTGTCACAAGTTTGGCGTCGACAAGAGCTGCCCATTAACCTCTCTGTATTTTACACCACCAAGCTTTTTTACTGCAGCACTCTGCAACTATACAACAGAAGGCTTATACAGTCATAGACTGCCTTGTATCCATATAAGCAAGTGAATGATGTCAGTCACGGCGGATGTACGCAGGGTCAACTGAAAATTTTTTATGGATGATGAGATAAACAAAATGAAGAAAAGGAAACGATTATTGAGACAACATTTTTTTCGATGTAGATAGCATTAGGTTTTTTTCAATTAAAAAACACTCCAGGAATTTAATTCTTCATTGCGGTCATTAATAATTGATTGTTACCATCCATCATGTTTTGATTAACACATTTTAAAGTCAATGACAGTGCGAACTGATTAGGTCGCCGGAAAGAGAAGTCATTGCATATTATCACGTTCGGAAAATGAAGGATATGGTTGCCTGACTGAAGCGATTGTTTGTTTTGCTTCCTTTCTTGATAAAGGTAAACAATACGGTGCTTGCAATGACATAGTTAATGAAGACTTATTGGCCAAATAGTAAGGATTCGTGACACAAAACGCTGTCGGAGATGCTGCCCCTTTGACATTTATTATTCTTATATTAAAGCACGGTGCTAAAGGAAGTTAGAGTGCAATCCATCTAAAAACCTGCAAACGTGTTTTTCCACATCCTTATCTTTGAGCAATCCATTTTACCACGAGGGATTGATTTGATGCTATTCCTTATGAAACGTGTGGGGTTGATTTCAGCGTCCTTTATATTGTCGTTTGTTATCAACGCATTTGGTGAGTACGAAAAATAATATCGACAGTATCAGTCATACCAAGTTTTAACAAAGGTAGTAGTGATAAATATCTAGTCGCTTAAGCACACTTTCAAAGATCCATACCATAGATCTAAAGAAAACTAACCCTTTCTACTTTTTTGTTTAATAAGCTTCAGTTGGCGCTGAATGCGAACGATAAACGACGCGGTAGTCTCAAACTGAAAGACGATGTCATGCGTCGCCCTGAAAATCAAATAATTATTATGCAAGGATACGTGCCACTCAATTCTGCTAAAGACGCTCGTACTTTGACCAATGTCAGCCAATGCTTATTACAGCTCCCTATTACTGGACACTGAACCCGATAAAATAAGTGGTTTCAGGATGTTCCATGAATGAACCGTGCATTATATTGTCAGTTTCTGTATTGAACGTTATCACACTCGTAGCTACTCGTGATCGTGACAAATGGTGTGTATCAGGAAAAACATAATTTTATCATATTCAATTTTAACAAAAAAACTAGCAATAACGTCTGCAATAACATGTTTAAGACTTTGGATCAGTGTATCAAAGCCTAAGAAAAGGAATCTTCCCCGCATACTAAAAGCAATGAGCTTTTTTCGGCGCTCGGGCCGAAATATAAACAGCAAAGTACTTTCATAGCGAAAGAGTCTGACATTTATCATCCTTTGACATTTTTTCATCGCAATTTTTTGAGACAGCTCTCTGTAAATATATTTTTTTCCACATTGTTCCTTACACTTTTAAGAATCTGCTTAATTTCCGCGAAATAAACGAAGATTATCTACAGTTGATTATGAGAAGTAAAAGAAAAGGCTGTGACCATGAAATTGAAGAAATTTGAGACCTAACTCATGCAGTAATTTCGAGACAGTGAACTTACATTGGTCAGGGCATGTTCATCAAATCAGGAAACTGGGATCATGATAACCCAGAGTGTTTCACGAAACATAAAGACGTAACGTTATAGGGTACAGGGTCACTAAATTAGCTTTCCCGTGCAATTTTGAATATTCTGCCATTATTAGGCGGAAATATATATTTCTTTACAAAGGTTATTTCCAGTATAGAAACTGTACGTTATGACGTAAACTCATCATTCGTCTCGGAATCTTTCTTTTCTCTTTTTTCTAAGCTTCAACGTGTGATCAACCAACCCCTCCTTATGGCTCAGTCATCATTCATCCATTAAAGAGAGAGAATTACCAAAACGGCGAAGTTATTCTCTTTGGCTGTAAACAGGGTTTTTATCTGGATGGAATGCCAATTGTGACATGCAATGGGAACAAGTGGACACAGACACAATTTCGATGTCTGGGTATGACGTGAATTTTGTTCTGAAGAAAACATAGCTGTCTGACTCAGGGGGGGAGGGGGTGGAGGACCTGGCGGGGATAACATGTTCTGAGGGAAAACGGAAGGGGGGTCAGTCGTCGCCAACATAATATAAAGAAGGGGAGTGTAGGAAACTTACTACAAATCAACAACCAATGAGGGGGGGGGGAGGGGATCATTAGAATATCACAGGGCCTTATAGGGGGATTCGGGTATTTTTATTCTGACATAACCAAAATCCTCCAGCCCCGCCCCCAGATGATAAATAATGACTGGTGTGAGTTAAATGTTTTGGCAAATTATCACGACCTGTTGTAGAAGGAAATTTAAGATATAATGCGTCTTGCTCAACCTAAGAAGAAAGTTCCTCAACTATCATTTATGACAACAACCGAAAACAGTGGAATCACGATCATCAATTTCATTTTGCTTCATTTAGGGTTTTGTCCGGATGTGCGTAACATTTTAAATGGTAAAGTATCCCATGTGACCCCGCAAGTTGGTAAGGCAGCCATAGAATTTCGGTGTGAAAATAAAAGTTTCCAGCTGATCGGTAGGACAAGGCTAGAGTGCATAGATGGACAATGGAATGGAAAGTTACCTTACTGTCAAAGTAGGTCATCGAAGCCAGGGTGTAATCCTCTGTATTAGAGTCCACATTGTCTGTTTTTGTTTATACCATTAAGA